ATAGCAATAGCAGACTTATACACAGCTTCGTAGTGTTTTACATCACTCTCTAAGCAGTTTACAGAGTCGGCCTATTGCTCCCAACAATCTGGCTCCTCTTTTAACGACCTTGGAAAGATGGAAGGCTGAGTTAACCTTGAGCTGGTCAGGATTGAACTCCTGGCTGCGGGCAGAGGTTGCCTGCAGTACTGCAATCTAACCACTGTGCCACCATGGATCCTAATGCAGGATTAATAGATCATCTTAAAATGCCTAGTGCAATGCCGAAGGAATTTCTGTATTTTGCATTATTGCTCTTCTTTCTGGCTTCTTCCTTGCCACAGAGAGTATTTCATTTACCATTCCATCCCATTCACTATTTTGGATTGCATTTCACCCCTGAGATTTCCTAACCTTGTTTTAAATAATAAATCCTGTGTTCATTAATGCCTTGGGTCTATTTTTGAAGGATCTTGTGCATTCTCAGAGCATACCCAAAATGTTTCAGGAGACACAGTGTCACCGTGGACTTGAATTATCTGCAAAGGCAGCATTTAAGTTGAATGTCACCTAAATCCTTTAATCCAACTGAGACTGATCTGTTTGTATCACTCCTGGGCATCTAAAATGCACCCAACATCCAGCTAAGTTTGAACATTATTTTCAATCCTAGTGAGTTTGGTCCTTATTATAATCATCAAGATACTGTTTTGAATCCTTTTTTTTAAATCAGTTGGAGATATTTGCTTATCTACTGTCTCCAACATGTTTAGGTCTTTCTGCCAGCATTTCTTGCTTGTTTGAACAGTAATTAAAACATCAATTTTTTTCTTCTAGATTGTAAATTGGCTAACTTGGAGTTCAGTAAGGATACAGCCTGTTTGTGTCTTATTTATAAATGAAGGTTATCTTACTTTAGTTTTCTATCTATTCGCTGTTGACATTTTTCACAGAGTTGAAAGAAAAATCTTCATCAGGGTCCAGTCCAAGCCGGGAATAAACAACATGGAGACTGCTTTAGAAAGAAGGTTGCAGTTTATTGAAGAGGAATGCCAGACAGAAAGATGACTCTGGGAAAAACTGACCCCATGTAGTAGAGAGTGGTGGATTTTTATACCTTTTTATACCTTCTTGAGCTTTTGTTTGGAGTTGTTCCTATGGCATGAACTTTGACCTAAAGTGATTTAGCTCTGGCACATTCTGAACCTATCTGCTTTGCCCATTGAAAGAATGAAAAGTGAGTTTCTAGTGCAATATTTCTTTTCATAGAAAATGTCTCCTCAGAATTCTTTGTAGTCATAAATGAGCAAATTTCTGAATCTGTTCTTTCCCAAATTTTGAGATAGATAACAAAGATAACTGAACCTTTCAAGTCTGGTTTATAGTCCTTGATTTACAACAGTTAATTTAGTGACCGTTTGAAGTTACACCGGCACAGAAAAAAAAAGTGAATTATGACCATTTTTTCACACTTACAGCCATTGCATCTGTAAAATAAAAATTCAGACTTTGGCAACTGACTCATATTTATGATGGTCGCAGTGTCCCAGCATCACGTAATCCCCTTCTGCGATTTTCTAATGAGCAAAATCAACGGGGAAGCCATAGTCACTTTACAACCATGTTACTAACTTAAGAACTGCAAAGATTCATTTAACACAGCATACAGTCTCAAGGCTGGGAGGGGTAGAAACACATTCGCTTCAAAAGAAAACAAGGAAAATGGCATAAAATTTGCATTGGTGATGTTTAAGTCACATAGCTGTACTCCTTTTGATATATGGGCCTGCTTTAGCTGAAGAACTGGCCATTAATGATGGATGATAGAAACAGTTTGGGTTGTTGTTTTTTTAAAGCCTTTTCAGCATTTTGAAGAAAGAGAAGAGCGGAACCACATAGAAGGCATGTCCACAGGATTTAGCGCTGACAGTCTTCCTAAGCTGGTTGCATTAATTTATCTAAAGTGTCATGCAAGTCATTTGAACTGTATGTCGATTTTATGCAAAACAGTGGTGCGGCTCTGTAATTTTAAACCTAGATCTTAATGTTCTCCTGCGTCCTTCCTTTAGATGACAGTTGGGAAGCAAATACCTTTTTATTTTACCTTCTTTCCTATGCTTTAACAAGAAATTCTTCTTCCGAATATGTTACTTAAAAAGCAAGTAAGTAAGTTGAGTAAATGTGAAGAAAGATTTGGAACATGGTTTCTTTCACTTTTCAAACTATGGGGAGTCCTCTGCTTATGACCACAACTAATCCCAATTGTTATGGGTGATAATCCATTGTGAACTCACTCTTATTTTTTTTAGTTGAAGAAACCAATGCATTAGAAACATACAGAGTTAAAGAGAAGAAAAAAACAGGAAGGAGGAGGAAAAAGAAAGAAAAAGCTGGAAAAAATAATAATAGAATAGAGTGGAGTAGAGTAGAGTAGAGTAGAGTAGAGTAGGATAGAATGGAATAGAATAGGGTGGAATAGACTAGACTAGACTAGACTAGACTAGACTAGACTAGACTAGACTAGACTAGACTAGACTAGAGTAGAGTAGAGTAGAGTAGAGTAGAGTAGAGTAGAGTAGAGTAGAGTAGGTTAGGATAGAATAGAATAGAATAGAATAGAATAGAATAGAATAGAATAATAACTTTATTGTCACTTTGAATGTACACTAATCAACATACTTTAAAATGAAATTTTGTTACATACAGCTCTCAAAGGGTCACCACCTCTGATATACACTATAAATAAAAAATCTTTAATCTCTATTCTCAGTTCTGTGTCATAAAGTGGAAAGAGTTTGGAAGAGTTAGTGGTGAAAAGGAAATGAAGCTCTCAAAGAACAAAAGATGGCTGAACACCATCAAAGCTGACACCAGCCAGAGCGTAGAACAACTCAAAGAAGTAGTGCAAGATCGGCCCTCTCTCAACGGGGTGAGGGGAGAAATAAGACATCACCTGTGTGAAGTCTACAATGCAGCCCTTTCAACAGTTCCAAGAAGATCCCACAACCAATTGCACTCTGATTCAGGTGACCCAGAGGGCAAAGATAACCCCCCAGTGGCCTCAAGAACTCTCAGGAAGAGTGCTAATGACTAGATGACTGCAAAGAAATACAATTGTTCCACCACCACCTCACGCCCAATCATTTGGTCAGAACCTGTCCTTCCATCCCCCCACGATCACAACTGATGAACTTTCTTGGATGAAAAACCAAACATTTTGTTCTTCTCCTACAAGGGAAAAACAAACAAACAAACAAACAAACAAATGTCCAGTTAACTTTTGAAAAAGTACCTTTGAGATAAATATGACCTGGATGACTGAGAATCTCCAAAGATATGCAAGATAGGAAGATATGGAGAGATCTGGCCCCTAGGATCATCAAGAATCAGACTTGACTGAATGAATGTATATCATCATCAACAACAACAAAGCAGGAGGGAGATTGCTTATACTCAACCTTGTCTTCTTTCATCTCTTTTAACAAAATTTAATTTCTCACTAGAGATTACATAGTACTACCTGCATTCAAGCTTTAAAACCTTCCCATCAGTTTCTTTGCAAACTTCTATCAAGGAACACAAAGTCATGTTTGTTTATTTTTCACTCTGAATTTTCATGAGCTACAGCATACTTGTTGAATCCGTGTTCTATAGTAATAATAATAATAATAATAATAATAATAATAATAATAATAATAATAATAACAACAACAACAGCAAAAAGTGGTGGGATCATAAAATAGAGAAAGTCATAGAAAATGATAAAATTAAACTGCTCTGGGACTTCAGAATTCAAAAAGACAAGCACCTGCAACATAACACCCCAGATTTAACAATTGTCGATAAGAAAGACAAAAAAGTCTGGATAGTGGACGTGGCAGTGCCTGGAGACAGCAGAATAGACGAGAAAGAACTGGAGAAGATAACAAAATACAAAGATCTACAAATAGAAATAGAAAGACTGTGGCAAAAGCAAGCAAGGGTAGTACCAATAGTCATAGGCGCCTTTGGTGAAATCCCAAAACAACTGGAGCACCACTTGAACACCATTGGCATTGACAAATTCACTATTAGTCAATTGCAAAAGGCGGTCTTACTAGGAACTGCTTCCATCCTGCGACGATATCTGTAATACCATCAAACATCCACATCTGCCTATCCCAGGTCCTGGGTAAGGACTCGATAGGTAGACAAAATGCCAAATCCAGTCTGAACATCTGGCTGACTGTGCGATGATCCATAATAATAATAATAATAAAATTGGAAGAGACCTTGGAGGTCATCGAGTCAAACCCCCTGCTCAGGCAGGAAACCCTACACCATTTCAGATAGATGGCTGTCCAGTCTCTTCTTAAAAACTTCCAGTGTTGGAGCATTCACTGCTTCTGGAGGCAGGTTGTTCCATTGGTTAATTGTTCTAGCTGTCAGGAAGTTTCTCTTTAGTTCTAGGTTGCTTCTCTCCTTAATTAGTTTCCATCTGTTGCTTCTTGTCCTGCCCTCAGGCGCTTTGGAGAATAGCTTGACGATTCTCTTTGCTCTTTGATAAATTAAGTTTCAGATCCACATTCTTCATTATCTCATGTAATCTATGCACAAAATTCATTTGAATTCTCAGCTAACAAGAAGACATCCCCCTGCATAGAAAACTCTATCCACATTTTCATTCCTACTCAAGCCACACATTTCTAATGTCACCACAATATTTTTTATACATGCATTTATCATTGCATGTTAAATACTAATGGATGATTATGCATGCCGGCTCTACTTCCCGATCAATGTGGAACCATTCATTTAAGCAACCTTCAACTCCATCGTCATGCAGAACAATCCATAACTCTAGCCCATTCACTTTATTATACCCTTTTCTAAAGCAAAACAAAAAATGTGCAATACACTTTTGTGGCCACATTCATACATTTTTCAGTGATCTGCTGAAGAGCAAAAAATGTACCAAGAGACTGACATAAAGCCATACAGCACTTCTTAATTTTTTCCCCATACCTTTTAATCTGTAACAGATGGTGCCAACAGAGGAGGAGCTGGTGTGATGGACTATAGTGAAGGACCAGATTTCCAAGAAGGAGGGAAAGAAGAACGAGGTAAGAGGCAACCCAACCCAGAGGAAAAGAGACAGGATAACTGCTCATTAGAATCTTCCAGGATACATCCATTTGGATGGAAGTCCTTAGTGTTTAGCTTGGCAAGATTCTGTCTACTGCATGTAAGCACTATTTTATCACAAGAAAGACAAAAAAATCTGGATAATGGATGTTGCACTACCTGGAGACAGTTGAGTATAAGGGAAAGAACTGGAGAAAATTAATTCTATCTATCTATCTATCTAGCTAGCTAGCTAGCTAGCTAGCTAGCTAGCTATCTAGCTATCTATCATCTATCCCTGCACATAGAAGTAGAATTGTGGCAAAAGAAAGCAAAGATAGCACCATTAGTAATAAGAGCCTTGGGTGAAATCCCAGAAGTTCTGGAACACTACATAAAGATCAACAACATTGAAAAAATTAGCATCAATCAATTGGAAAAGGCAGCTTACTTGGAATGTCTTACATCCTGCAAAAATATCTTTAACATTACCAAACAACAACATCTGCCTATCCCAGATCTTTCAGACGGACGATAGGTGGATGAAAATGCCATATTCATTCTAAACAACTGGCTGACTATGTGAAAAGAAGAAGAAGAAGAAGAAGAAGAAGAAGAAGAAGAAGAAGAAGAAGAAGAAGAAGAAGAAGAAGAAGAAGAGGAGGAGGAGGAGGAGGAGGAGGAGGAGGAGGAGGAGGAGGAGGAGGAGGAGGAGGAGGAGGAGGAGGAGGGGGGAGGAGGAGGAGGAGGAGGAGGGGAAGAAGAAGAAGAAGGAGGAGGAGGAGGAAGAGGAGGAGGAGGAGGAAGAAGAAACAGCTTCAATTGTTAAAATACTCAGACCCACAAGTTAAATCTCACATGTACTCCATAAACAAGTCACCTATTTATTTTAACTTTTCTTCAATTGCATCATCCCCCTATTCGGCTCTGATATTTTTCAGTGTTCTCAGACCACTTGCAATTTCATTATCACCATTTTTCCTAGGACACTGACATTTATAGCATTCATTTCAATTCCATTCTTTGAATTACTGCTATATTTTCCTTGCAGATCTGTGAAATACTCCTTCCAGTTATTCTCTCCCTTTCAGTTTCATGTTAAATAATTTCATAATTTTTATTTTTTTTAATTCCCTTGACTCTATTGAAAGCTTCTTGTTTAACCCTTTTTCAACCACTCCTAAAACACAATTTTTACTCTCATCAAAATGGTTCTCCGTTTTCTCTGCCTCTTTTCACTATATTTGTTGCAGCTACTGTTTTCCTTCTATTGTGCATATATTTTCCTTGTCATTTTTTTTCTGCATCAGAAAGTATTTGTTCTCCCATTCCCAGTCTTGGCCACTTTATCTTATAAACATTCTTCTTGATACGTCCCATTAGCATAACTCTACATATTTCTATGGAACCCTGTAACATAATTCTTTTCATTTTGTCCCAAGTAAAATTTACATCTTTCTGTCTCAAATAAAGAATTGTGGATGGAATATTTAAAAGCTTTAAAATTCAAAGGCTTTAAATAATAACTGTATTTTTTTTAAAAAAAGAAATAGCTAAAAATGTTCTAAAAGTAACCAGCATTTATTAAGATTTGCAAGGGAAATTCACTTTAATTGCCTTTGTCTCTGGACTAAAAGTTTCCAAATGGATGTCTTTTCTGTTTTGTAAATTTATTTTACAGTACAAGCTGTAATTTGTCTGCATGTAAACAAATGTGTTTGTGTGTGAGAAAGAACATCTGGAACAAAGATCAGGAAAAGACAAGGCACGAAAGAGAAATTGAAATATTCACTCTGTAATGGTGTGGATGAAGGGGAAAAAAAATAGGACGATAGAGAAAATGAAAAAAAATCTCTCGAATCCTTAATAATATTAAAGTATAACAGTATTTTTCCACCTTGGGAACTTTCAGATCTTTGGACTTCAACCCCCAGAATTCCCTTCCCCAGCAAGGCTACCAGGGGAATCCTGGGAGTTGAAGTTCACATAACTGAAAGTTGCCAAGGTGGAGAAACAATGAATAGTACAGAGAATACATGTGGCAGAAACTCAGGAATATTTGCTGAGTAAGCTGCAATTCCCCCCCCTGATTCTGACAAATCTCAGGAGAAATACAATGTCCCGGAATGAAAAGCAATCTCGATTTATTGATTGAAAACTACAGATGTTTGGCATGATAGCCAAGGCCATAAATTCAGTGGCTCAACTAGTTCAGAACTTACCATAGATAAAACAAACTTTCTCCAACTTATTTTTTCCTGACACGCACATATGTTTGCAAACATTATAGGATCCTTAGTGTTGAAAGAAAAATCTTCATCAGGGTCCAGTCCAAGCTGGGAATAAGCAAAATGGAGACTGCTTTAGAAAGAAGGTGGTGATTTATTAAAGAACAGAGCCAGACAGAAAGATGGCTCTGGGAAAGCTGACCGCATGTTGCTGGGAGTGGTGGGTTTTTGTACCTTCTTGGGCTTTTGTTTGGAGTAGTTCCTGTGGCATGAACTTTGATCTGAGTCTGAGTGTGCCTTTTTGTATTCTAATGATGGTGGGTTAATTATATTATTGTCCCAAAGGTCATATCCTGCTTCCCTGGGGCTATGTCCTGTGTTGGATTTGGGGGGGAAGGAGTGAGGGGTTGTTGATTCTAGGGATCTTTGTCTTTCTAATGCCATCAGCTCCAAGCTTCCTGGCTCCAATCTTCCTGAAAGGATTATCAAATCTGCATTTCTACAGACCTGGTTTCTGCTTGGGGCAGAGAGACTGGGCGGTGGTGGTTTCTGCCTTTTCAGATCTTCTCCATTATTCCTTTGGGGAAATATAATATTCGGACTTTTTAATATTCCCCAAAATATTTCTTTCTCTGGGGGGGGGGTGACTTTCCACATTAGGAATCATGCCCCCCCTCTAATCATTCTTTACCCTGTTGTTCAAAGCCTAAGAAGAAGGCTTGTCTCAAGGAGAAAAAAAATCAGGAACTTGTAATCTCATTAAGGACATTTTCATTCCCAAATATTTCTTCACACCTGTGTCCCAAAGGTGCTTTTTTTTTTCCTTCCAAAAGGCAACTGGGCTTTATTTGTTTTTTCCTTGAAGATGTTGGGTGTGGAACTGTGAAAACAGAGTCCTTTCAGCAGTTCCAAGAAAGTTCTTGGAGCCCATTTGCACTATTCAGGTGACCCTGAAGGCACAGAAAAACCCCAACGAGTCTCAGAGAGAGTGCTAATGACCAGATGACTGCAAGGAAAATAAATCCTTCCATGTTCCACCATTCAGTCCAAACTGAAGAAGCTTCTTGGATGTGAAGCCAAACGTCTTCAAGGAAAAAACAAAGGAAGTCCAGTTGCCATTTGAAAAAGCACTTTTGGGACAATCATGACCTATATGACTGAGAATCTCCATGGATCTTCACCCCTGTGGGCAATCCTCCCACCTCCTTTCACAGAACATTCATTACAGTATATTTCACTTATTTCCTTGCCTTAGACCAGACATGTCAAATGTCACGTGATGTTGTGCAACATATCGGAGCTTTTTCACCATTGCCAGCTATGGGGTGGGCGCGGCTCCGGTATGATGAAACCAGCCTGCAGGCCGGCAGTTTGACACCCCTGCCTTAGACAATATACAAGGTAAATCAATCCTGCCACTTTATCTCCGGCTGACTTAAAGGGCTCTTTTAAATCTTGCCTTTGAAATCCACAAGTCAATTGCAGCACAACAAGATGATACTGAATTATAGCTTAACGTTTTACCTTACTATTTGCATAATTGCCCTTTCTGAGTTTAATGCAAAAAAAAAAAAGAACAACCCAAACAGAACACATTTTATGATATAGGCTTTGTGAAAACATGCCCTCTCAAAGCCTCAAACAAGGCATACAATAATGCAATAATATTATCTACTGTGTAGCTCCCCAGCAGATAATCAGCAGCAATCAAAACGATAAACCGTAAGTAAGGAGGAGAGGTGGGGAAATGATGAAAAAGAAGGACAATTTCATAGAGAAGAGAGAAAAGGAAACCAATGGTGATACCCATGGTGGCTAAGGGGATCAATTAATAGACAGTCAACATTAGATTCTGCATTGCAAAAGAAAGCAAGTCAGTTGTTTTGTTTCATAGTAGACCTCTGCCATATTAATCATAAATTGGCCTGAGTGTTTCCAACAGGGTAAAAGACAGCTGAAAGCAAAAACTTGTGGTTAACATAAAAGTGATTTGTGCTTCATAATAAAATTCAAATATACACCTATCAAGAAAGAAAAACACAAAGACTGTGAAACTGACCATTTTTACAGCTTAGAATGGATCTCTAAGTTAGGGACTTGATTTGCAGAAGAAGAGAACATATATTCCAACATATTCTGAAAGCTTTGGTTTACTGATCTGTGCATCAGAGCTGAGATCAGACATATGATTCCTAGGCAAGGCTCTCTCCTGAGATTCACAGAAGGTGGTTTAGTTGTGGTTAGCTGAATGCATTCAAGCTACAGAAAATATAATGTTTTACCAGTAGATTAAACCAAGAAGCTAATCATCAGTGACATACATCTACTTGTGCTCTCTGCTGGAGAAAAGCCGTGTGTGTGTGTGTGTGTGTGTGTGTGTGTGTGTGTGTGTGTATTACAAATGTTTTGGCAAGATGCCAAACAAGCAATAATTTCTTCTCTTTCCTGGGTTTTGCAAGACTCAGCTAGTTACTCGCATAAAATATCTGCTGAGTGTGATGATAGCAACGGGGAACCCCATTTAAGTCCATTTGAAAATATCTTACTCTGAAGACTTGGATGATGTAAAGCAAAGATTCAGCTTTTGTAGGAGTATGGAAATTTACTTCAGATATACTGTTGAAAGAAAAATCTTCATCAGGGTCCGGCCCAGGCTGGGAATAAACAAAATGGAGACTGCTTTAGAAAGAAGGTTGTGGTTGACTAACAAGCAGAGCCAGATAGCAATGTGACTCTGGGAAAGCTGACCACATGTTGCTGGGAGTGGTGGG